AATTGACAAAATATCTACTGTTTTTACAATATAAACACAAAATACTTCTAATGTAAAGTATATTAACATAAACAGATGTGGGTTTCAATAAAGTGAAGCTATATTCTTAAGCGAATGTTTGGTATTATGTCTGGATATAAACATATTGTATGTGGGAGAACTGTACAATGGGCAGCTTTGTCAGTTGATAAAGGTGTATAAAAATTTGTACAGAACAAATTATGGTAGAAAACATAAGACCATAGATGGAACTACAATGACCTTGAAATGGTAAATAAATGACTAGTTGTATCAAAAACTTCAGATAAGGGAGGACAGGATAGCTGTGGAGAAGTGTATTATGTATATTGATTATGATTTTTTTTGTCATGTGTTAACATTGGTTAGTTGTTACAGTCTTACTGATTGGTGAGTGAATGAATGAACTCTGACATCAAACACATTTCTAACTGAATTTCTTAATAATACCAAACAATCAGCATATATCATTTCAAGGTCATCTTGCAGCAACACCCAAAGCCATCCCCCCCACTTCCTTTAAAATGTTGTGTATCTATAGACCTGTACCAGTAGTAAAGATTTAGATGGTATGGTTCACCCATTTATTTCCATATCAGCTTTGTATATCACAATTTGGCCTTAAAAATATCCGGCTGTTTTTGTTGTTGTTGAAGCATATGAAAAGTTTTAAGCTTTATTTTATAAATTTTATATTTGGAAAGGTTAAGAAAAATATTGACTTTTTGTGATAGAGAAAAACTACAATATTTTAAATGGTATGACTGTTGAACAAAGTAGAATCATTTATATTTAAATGCAAGTTTCTTGTTTTTTGTGGAGTATAAAGGACATTTCAAATACTATAGACATCAAATTAAATGTAGTAAACCTGAATTCTAAGTGTATTATTAGCCTAAACGTAACAAGTGATTGGATTTTGTAATATCTGTTACTGTATCATTGAATTGAACTGGATAATTGTTGCCAGTTATGTTATAATAATTAATATAGTTTTTGTGAATGAAAATTGATATGCTAATGCCTGATGTTATGATCCACAATGAATTGAAGAATGAGGGACCTTTGTGGATAGTTTGCTTAGTGGTGTACCTTTGGAACATTACAAAATTATTATGTATTGATTAACAATTAAATATCGCTATTTTAATGATTGATAAATTTTATAGAGTTATAAAGAATTAATGGAGTATTTCTAGATTGGATTCATTGGCACATTTGTTTCTTGACCTTATGTGATTTCTTTTTTTTTATAATTAATCAAATCTTAAATCATAAAAGGTATTTATTGAAGAAGCTTAACTACCAATGGTGTGAATTTGTGTTATTTTTAGGGCATGATTACATAGAAGAAATGAAAAATGATGATGGTAAAATAATTAGTTTTCAGTGTAAGTTATGTGAGTGCAGATTTAATGACCCAAATGCTAAGGAAATGCACATGAAAGGTCGTCGGCATCGTTTACAATACAAGGTAACTTCCTTTTTCTTTTCTTTTTTAAAGTGAAATTCTTACTTTAATTATGTTGTAAAATATTAGTTAATTAACTGAGACTGTGACGTTTAAGTTACTTATTTCTCACAATATAAAATTTGATCCTGAGTTTATTATGAATTAGCAGAGACCCTCAAAACATTTGTGATCATATTAGTATCTTTGTTGCAATAGTGTGGCAGGATTATTAGTTAGATATGGTTCAAAAGGCAATAAAACAATAAAATTAAATATAAATAGATGGATGTATACTGTTAAAAGCTATTTAGGATAAACAGTTCTATTTTTCTGTTACAATTTGCAGTCATTCCAGAAAGAAAAAAGGTTAATTTAGAATTACTTCTTAGTTTTACTATGGTGGTAATGAAGTCAGTC